GGGCAACTTGATGAGACTTCATCTCTACAACAAATCAAAAATTAGCCAGGCATGGTAGCGCGCGCCTGTCGTTCCAGCTACTTGGAAGGCTGAGGCAGAAGGATCGCCAGAGCCCCGCAGGTCGAGGCTGCGGTGGCGGGAAGCGGCCATTGCACTCCAGTCTGGGTGACAGAGTGAGACTCCAACTCAAAATAAATAAATAAATAAATAAATAAATAAATAAAAAATAAACAGGGCATTGGACTGGGCTCGGTGGCTCAGCCTATAATCCCAGCACTTTGGGAGACCAAGGCGAGTGGATTGCCTGGGCCGGTAGGTTTGAGACCCACCAGGTCAACTTGGCAAGACCTCGTCTCCACAATAAATAAATAAATAAAAAATTAGCCGGGCGTAGTAGCACACGCCTGTAGTTCTGGCTACTTGGAAGGCTGAGACTGCGTTCCAGTCTGGGTAACAGAGTGAGACTCCAACTCTAAATAAATAAACAAACAAACAAGCAGGACATTGGGTGGAACAGCTGCTTCACACACCCGAAGGGACATATACAAGGGGGACCCCCCAAAAAAACAGAATTATCTTTTGGAGGGCGGGCCCCTTTATTATAGGATTCCCTCACTAGGTAAGTGTTCTAGCAACCCATTGACATCAGTGTACCTGCTAACATTGTTGTGAGAGGCTGCATCGCAGAAGAAACACCCCCAATTGTGGCAAACAGGTGACTGGTTCTTCCACCATGACAACGCCCTTACCCACACTGCACTGAGTGCTCAGCAGTTTTTGACCAAAAATAACATGACCCTCGTGCCCTACCTCCCACTCACCGGATCTTGCCTGAGCGACCTTTTTTTGTTTCCCAGATGAAAAATCTTCAAAGGGAAACATTTTGCCGATATGGAAGAGGTGAAGCAAATACAGCAGAAGCACTAAAAGGCATCAAAATTAACAAGTTCAAAAACTATTTTGAGCAGTGGAAACAGCATCTCCATGGGTTTATTGCATCAAAGCGAGAGTACTTTACATGTAAGAATAAAAACACAACTGTTGGGCACAATGGCTTAAGCCTGTAATCCCAGCACTTTGAGAGGCTGAGGTGAGAGGACTGCCTGAGCCCAGGGGTTCAAGACCGGCCTGGGCAACTTGGCAAGACCTCATCTCTACAATAAGTAAAAAATTAGCCAGGTGTGGTAGCGCATGTCTATAGTTCCAGCTCCTTGGAAGGCTGAGGCAGAAGGATCGCCTGAGCCCAGCAGATTGAGGCTGCAGTGGCCGTGAGCATGCCACTGTACTACATCTGGACAACAGAGTGAGACTCCAACCCAAAAAAAAAAAAAAAGAATACACAATTTTTTATAAATAAATTCTGGGGCTTTTGGGGTTCTTCCTCATAAATAAATGAATTGTCCATCTCTGGGCATCTGTGGGCAAGTTTCACAAACTTTCTGGACTCTGTGTTCCTGTCTGTTAAATGAGAGACTCGAATATAGCTGATTGCCAGCATTCAGTGAACCTGTCACATAGCCTGACAGGCAAGCTCTAATTCCCACCAGGTAGACGACTGGTGACAATGAATACTTTTTAAACTATTTAGTAAATGCATTGTTACTGGTCTTGCTCTGTTGAAATTTCCGTTGAATTCATGCTAAAATCATAGCAGCCAGGTGCGATGGATCCCAGCACTTTGGAAGGCAGAGGCGAGAGGATGGCCTCAGCTCAGGGGTTCAAGACCAGCCTGGGTAACTTGGCAAGACCTCATCTCTATACTAAATTTTAAAAATTAGCCAAGTGTGGTGGCACGCACCGGTAGTTCCAGCTACTTGGAAGGCTGACTGGTGGAAGGATCACCTGAGTCCAACAGGTTGAGGCTGTAGTGGCTGTGAGTGTGCCGCTGTATTCCAGCCTGGGCAGCAGAATGAGACTGCAAAAAAAAAAAAATTCACAGCCATCCTTTATTGTCCCCTTACTGGGTTAGCTAAGCCTGTCGTACCCTATTACCTCATTTTAATTTTTATTGACCTTCACTTTGAGGCAACAAGGCTTTGGGACATTAAAACTCACCTAAAGTTATGCTCATGTTATTATTTTCTTACTAAAGAAAGATTTATTAGTGATAAGTCTGTGCGAATGTATAGCAAAGGCTTTTGCAATGGACAAAGAAAAGTATATTTTAGTATAGAAAATAAAAAAACTTGGCCAGGTACAGTGGCTCATGCCTGTAATCCCAGGACTTTGGGAGGTCAAGGCAGGAGAATTACTTGAGCCCAGGAGACTAGCCTGGGCAACACAACGAGACCTCTGCAAAAAATTTTAAGAATTAGCTGGATGTGGTGGCAAACGCCTGTAGTTTCATCTACTCTGCACTCCAGTTAGGCGACAGATTGAGACCTTGACTCAAAAAAAAAAAAAACACTCAAATTGGGAGCTTTTATGCATGACTGTAGTCCTAGCTACTAAGGAGGCTGTGGCAGGAGGATCACTTGAGGCCAGGGGTTCAAAATCAACTTAAGTCAACATAGCAAGATCCCATCTCTAAAAAAGAAAAGAAAAGAAGCCAGCCTCAGTGGCTCAGCCTGTAATCCCATGCTTTGGGAGGCTGAGGTGAGTGGATTACCTGAGCCCGTGGGTTTGAGACCTGCCTGGGCAATTTGGTGATACCTCATCTCTACAATGAATCAAAAAATTAGATGCACATGGTAGCGCGTGCCTGTAGTTCCAGCTACTTGGAAGGCTGAGGCAGAAGGATCGCCGGAGCCCAGCAGGTCGAGGCTGCGGCAGCCGGGAGCATGCCACTGCACTCCAGTCTGGGCCACGGAGTGAGACTCCAACTCAAAAAAAAAAGAAAAGAAATTTTTACAATAAAACAGTATAAACAAATGCTAAGTGAGTATTTAAAATATTTTCTTTCTTCTGAAATAAAATTGTTTTTTGAGTCTGCTGGAAATTTTTAAGTGTCGTAGGTCAGTGCCACTGAGAAAATCCTGTGTGTGTGTGTGTGTGTGTGTGTGTGTGTATGTGTTTATGTCTTGCCTTACCTGCTTGAAACTCAGTGACATGGCACATTCCTCTGTCTGGTACACAACACAGATTTAAGAGGTATGCAGTGGAGTTTCTGATGTAATATGAAATGGACGTTGAAAAATTAGCCAACCAGGCGTGGTAGCTCATGCCTATAATCCCAGCACTTTGGGAGGCCAAGGTGAGAGGATTGCCTGAGCTCCCAGATTGGAGACCAGCCTAGGCAGCTTAGTGAGACCTTATTTCTACTATAAATTTTTTTAAAAATTAGCCTGGCCTGGTGGCGCATGCCTATAGTTCCAGCTACTTGGAAGGCTGAGGTGGAAGAATCACCTGAACCCAGCAGGCTGAGGCTGTAGTGGCCGTGAGTATGTCACTGCACTCCAGCCTGGGCGACGGTGAGACTGACTCAAGAAAGAAAAAGAGCTGAGCTCAGTGGCTCAGCCTGTAATCCCGTGCCTTGGGAGGCTGAGGTGAGTGGATTGCCTGAGCCCGCGGGTTCGAGACCCGCCTGGGCAACTTGACGAGACCTCATCTCTACAATAAATCAAAAAATTAGCCGGGCGTGGTAGCGCGCACCTGTAGTTCCGGCTACTTGGAAGGCTGAGGCGGAAGAATTGCCGGAGCCCAGCAGGTCGAGGCTGCGGTGGCCGGGAGCAGCCACTGCACTCCAGTCTGGGCGACAGAGTGAGACCCCAACTCAAAAAAAAAGAAAGAAAGATGGCTCAGCCTGTAATCCCGCGCCTTTGGGAGGCTGAGGTGAGTGGATTGCCTAAGCCCGCGGGTTCGAGA